CTGAATTTAATATTAATACAGTTTCTACTCAAACTGAAAATTTTAGTAATACAATTGCTATACAAACTGAATCTACTATTAATACAGTTGCTACTCAAACTGAAATTATTAGAGATATTCACTTTTTGGCCAAAGGTGGTTTTGCAACTATTTTTAAGGCCATATGCAAAGAAGGAAATGGAATTCAGAAACAAGATAATTACAAAGAATTAGTGAACAATGGGTTGTTTTAAAAAATTAAAAAAGTCCAATCAACATAGCAGCAGTTGGTTTAATGATGTAAAATTTATAATTTAAATATATGTTTGAAATTTGGATGTTTATATTTTTAATATTAATTAATAATTACTAATATTAGATCATATCCAATTTTATTATTGATAAGATCGCAAAATACCTTGTTTCTTGTTATAGATTGACACAAGATTCAGAAACTGTTGATTTATATTAGTTCTGGATATATATGATTGTGATTTATGAAAATATTTGTAAAATAATTCATTAAATCTAACATGGGAGCAGCAGTATAATATTATTTAAGAATATCATTTTGCCTATATGTAATTCATAAATCTGGCAGAGTTCATAAAGATTTATATTCTAAAATATTTTAATTTATGAAAAATTTGATTCTTTAAGAATTAGTGATTTAGGATTTTGTGAACCTGTAGAAAAATATTCAAATAGCATTTATGATAATTTTCTTTATATTGCACCTGAAGTGTTAAATATAAAACCACATACTACAAAATCAGATATTTATAGTTTAGAAATTATTATGTGAGAAGTATTAGTTAGAAAATATCCATTTAGTATTAGAGAATATAATAATAATTTAATGGTTAATATTTTTAATGGATTGAGGCCACAAATACCTAGCAATTTACCACAAGAATATATATCATTAATGCAAAAGTATTGAGATAGTGATCCCAAAAACAGACCATTTTGTTATACAGCTTATATAACAATGTGTATGATGTTAAGAAAGCTTCTTGAAGCCAAAGATAATTGAATTTCAGAAGAATATTTCCTTTTCAAAAAGTCTTTCATTGGATACATATTTTTCAAATACATCTTTCAATATAAACAATTTTCTATTAATAGTTATTATAGCAAGATTTATTCCTTTTAAATCTTTCAAAACATGTAGAATCAGCTGATAGTAATAATTATTTTATTGTATAAGTTATTATATAAATTTTGAAAATAACTAATAAACACCACAGGTGATGATCACTTGTGATTTACATATATAATCTTGTGTAATATAAACAAATAAATAAACAATTTAATAAATAAAAAAAGAAATAATTTATTTAATACCCGGGTGAGTTACTCACCCCTCTTAAGTATAAAAGGGAACCCCAGTCATGTTAATATATTAGAGTTAAAATTAAGTTTAGAATTAGAGTTAGCCTAAGGTAAATTGCGAGAGAAACATTTTTGCTTATATTATATGACAGGGGTTACCTTAGTAAAATTTGGAGATATTGGCATTTTTTCAAATTTTGTTATAGAGAGGTGAGCAATATCAAATCTCATCCCAGGTAAGGAATAAATTTACTCATAAAAAAATATTTTTTTTGGGACTTTAGGGTAAGGGTTAGAGTTCATATTAGGGTTAGAGTTTAGTAAGGTTTATAGTAAAATTTTGTGAGGAATTTTTTTACATAGTGCCTCAAAAGATTACAGTATAATTCCCTGAAAGTTATTTACCCAAAAGGCCACTTACACGACATCACAAGGGTGACAAATTGCTAAAAATATATACCTGCAGCTAATCAAATACTAACCCTAACTCTATGTGATGTCGGGTAAGCAGCCTGTTGGATAAATAGCTTTGGGGAATTGAGCAACAACCTCTCAAAAGTGGTTTCATAAGCAAAATTTTAAGATAATTTTACTATAGATGATAATCACCTGTGGTGTAAATTAGAAATTTCTATAAAATGATTACCTTTTTAAAATTTAACATCAAATTTAGATTATGATTATAACTATAGTATCATTGATAAGGATCAATATTCTAAAAAGAGGAAAAGGTTAAATGTTTCGATATTGGATTTTAAATCTAGTACTTTGGCATTAAAAAATTTTCTGAAGATCAATAATTATATTAATTTATTATAAACAGGGTAGTTTAACTAGTGCGCTATTTTATGGTCTTGATTTTTTAGCATATAACCAATTATAATTTCCATTTTATATATTTTATCAGAGAGAGCTAATATCAACTAGGGTTGAAAAATATTAGTGGCGGTTCTTCCACAGAATTTTTATCTATAGTGATATTGAACAATTCTATTATTAATTAACTCACTTCTTGTTCACACACAATATTTGGCCACATACAATATTTAGCGTAATAATTTAGTAAAAGATCTGTATATAAAATTATATAATCTATATATTTTGTAAAAAAAAAAAAAAAGACTTACACTTTTAAGACAACACTTGTTTTTTATAATAGTGCTAATATTTTTGGAATCATTATTTATAAAATAAATAACTTCTATAATATATTAATTCTTTTTAAAAGGGAAATTAGAGGCATCTCTCGCAGGTATGGTTGCTTGTGCAGTGCACTTGGCGATGCCAATGGTGCACCAAATATGGAGCACCACTGGCACATCAACACAGGTATAGTGCAGAGGTGGCAAGAAAATCACATTTATTTACTTTATAAGTTGAGTTATGATATGTATGAACTTTCCAATTGATTTTTAAACATCTGAAGAATTAGTTCATTCAAATTTGCTTAATAATATTAGTGATAACTTGTCACAGATCACAGTAAGAAGTGACAGAAATGATGGTTAAACTGCTCTATAAATTCCTGATCTAAACAATAAATAAATATAAAATACATGTATATTCTTGCAAAAAAAAACAAAGGTATATTTGAAAATTTTTGTCACATAGTTCTTGAACAACCCTTATATTTGGTAAGAGGGATACTAATTGATAATAGGTTGCATAGTGAGCCCGGGGGAGGTAAAAGAGGGTTGGAAATATGCTTCGACAGAGTCACGTGATGGGATGATTGGGCAGATTACGATGGGGTCGATAATGTTGGGCAGCGTTATCAAGGTTATGTGACATGTGATCATTGATCGATATAACAATGACGATAATGCAATGTAATTAGAAAATTAATTAAAAGTTTATTAAAGTATAAGGTAGCATAAATGATGTAATTAGATTAGAATAAATATAAATAGAGACAATAAATAAAGAAAAGCAGTTAGTAATCGTCATAACCAGAAGTGTTATTGTAAAGAAAAATTGTGTTACGAATGTCTTTCTATGACTTCTTGTGCTATATTATTTTCTATTTCTATGACTAATCTTATTATTTTTAATTAATTGGTGATTCACCAGTCAGCCAGTGAGAGGTCATAGTGTAACGTAATGTGGTTTACTTAGGCCATGCAAAAAAAAATTTTTATTTAACATTACCCGCCAACCCAAATTTAGCAAAAACTTAAAAAAATTTTTTTTTTTTTTATAAAACCAATTTGGTTTAAAATGATAATACTAATATATATTTTAATAAATTTAATAAATCTGGTTTAAAAAAATCAATATTTGCCTAATACAAATATAAAATATATATGACCTAACTTAA